TTTTCTGTAATGCCGCTTGCAAATTGGCACCTTCATACGTGTACCTACTCTCAGCCTGCATGGCATGTCCCATAGATTAGTGCATAGGCAGTCTTCTCCAGAAGCACGTCCCCAGCCACTCTGCACACCCACACCACCACTATCTACTGAGCATCTCTCTCCCTATCTGTACAACAAGCTCCAGGGGAGCTGGGCTCTTTCACTTTTGTGGTTGAGCAATGCCTACAATATAGGAAGAATCCAATGTTTGAGCACCTAAATATTCAGTGAAGGAAAGAATGGATGTTTTGCTACTGTATTTCAAATTTAAGGTTCTTAAGGAAAAATTCAGTCTTTTTATAGACACAGTTACATCCTCAGAGCACCACACATAGATATAGAAACTTGAGGTCATTCAAAAGTATGCACAGAGATCCTGCCAGTGATGTGTCAGCGGCACGGCTTCTTGGAAGTGGGCAAAGCATGCAGATTAAGGTTGGCACCCCCTTGATTAAAGTGGCTTGTGCTGAAACAGAAAGCCTCAATTTCCAACGTGGAATGGCCCCCTTAATATTCTTAATTGCAATATCATGTCAGTTTCATCTAAAATGTCAGGTTTAGCTGTTCATTTTTATCAAACAGTCCATCTAGCCCTGTAAGCAACAGGATACCAGCAGTGGGGTAGCTGTAATCCAGATAATGCTAATACATTATTCATAGCAGTTTGATTAATGGTCTTCTTTGAAATCTTATCTCCATCATCACAGGCAGATATGTATTGATAACCTCCATGTTTTCAATGATATGGTCACTTGTGTACAGCTGAAAGAAAGAGGCAGAGGCAAAAAGAAATGTTGAGAATTTCTAAACCTCCCAGGAACTTTGAGGAACTTTAATTTCCACTGAGTCCCCGAATATTTGGCCTTGTTTTAAAACTGCTGAATGACTGAGACATGTGTTAAAGTTAAGTGATTATCCCAGACCACACTGCTCATAAATGGCAAAACAGGATTATTTTTCTTTTTTTATTAATTTTATTGAGAAACAAATAGCAATGAGATAGTTTCAAAACCGATTGATAGGACAGTTTCAACAATTAATACATTGCATGTTGTTGTCTTCATAGTGGTTATTCATAGTACAAGATTATTTTTCTTATAGACTTTGGTTGTGTTCTAAAATCTCCAGCTCATTCATTCAGTTTTGTTGAGCATGGTGGTATACAAAGCTAGACACTGCTTTTACTGTATAGTGCCTTGCTCTTATTTCTCAACCAAGGTAAACATGAATCTGTACAAAACTAAACATGATGGCAGCTCTTATGCTGCTGCTTCCCAAGTGCTCCTGGAAGTCTAGTACTGTGTGCTTCACATTAGTAACCAGCTTCCTCTGAGATGTTGCACCACTCTGGAGACACTAAATGACTGGGACTCAGATTGTGTCTTTGCCTTGTAAATGACATTTTTCTGGCTTTTATTTCAACTTCATAAGGTTCAGGTAGAGCAAGAAAATATTACAGTCCACACAATCCTATCCAACATCAATGTCAAGTACACTCCTGAATTCAAGAATAGCCTTTTCTTATTATTTGATACGTGCTTCACCAACTTTGGGTCATCCAAAGGCCCTCATTCTTTTACAAAATAGAGCACTTCCTAGTGCTCCAAGTACCACCTTGACTAGACTCTGCCACTCATATCTATTTCTTGGCCTACAGATTCACTTCACAGGATTTGAATGGTGATGGAAGAGAGATATCTGGAGGATTTGACTCAGGTCTAAACAAATTCATATACACTCTCTATATAGCTTCATGTAGTCCAAAGATACATTATTTTTAGTTCTCCTACATTTAGTTTTTTTAGTGTCCCATCATGTAAGGTCAGGTGTGGAATTTTCCACTTGTGACATTATGTCAGTGTTCTTCAGTTGCAGATATTAGAGCATTTATGATTAGGGATGCTTAACCTGTATTAATTTTCTAACCACATGTGGTGTTAATGGCAGCATATAAAGTGTTTGAGGTTGTGTAAGTGGTCCTTGATTTAATTATCTATGATTCTGATGAAAATATTTTAAAGCAGCAAATGTTTTGGAATATTTTCTGTTTCAGCCCCAAATTTCACTCTAAGAAAGTTTTCCTCCCAATTAGAAAAGGAACACATTTACTGAAGGAAACTGGCTGGTGAGAAAGAAAATAACAGGAAAAGAAGTATACCCCTGGTAGCATATGGACTAACATCAATTTTATAGCTTAATGGGCTCCCAAACCTCCATCAATCAACATATTGACCCCCCCAAAAAAATACAAGTGGATTTTATCAAAACTTGTATTAGTACCTGCCTTTTTTATGAGGCCAACTCTAACCCTTTTCTATATAACAAAGTATCAGCTGCCATATTTCTTATGAGTGTTCCTTTCTTCTACTTAAATACCCACAGGACATTATGCAGTTTTCATCAAAGACATGATTCCAGATTTTTGCTTTCCCAAGCTTTCAGATAGAGCCCTCTAATACAAGCATATATTCTAGAGAGTTGTGCAGGTCAAACTCGCTGTGGTAGAAGACAGGAGGCCCAGGCTGACCATAGTGTTTTCATTCAGTTGCTGCCATTCTGCGGGTCTACCATGAATGACAATATAACTCACCCCAAATACTTATCATTTAGTAATTCCTGGTCTACATCTTGTCCAGTGAAACAGTTCTATTAATCATGCCCTTGGTTATCATGATAACCAAGCAGTTGTCAATCCAACTGCTACTGAAGCTTCTAAGTGCCTCTCCCATTTTCTATATCTAACTGATTGTGACCATGAAGTACACTTTTGGTGGTACTGGAATAAAGCCCAGCAGAACTGTGACTCCTTTTCTGCCTCCTTAAGGGACATTCACCTTTCTGCCAGGCATTCACAGGGGCTGTTTCATGTTCTCACATTTCATTCTGTTCAAGCAGTAGCACACCACTCACTGTCTTTCCCATCTTACCCTCTTCCCAGGTCTCTTTCTGCTATGGGTAAAATGGGCTCATTCCCCAGGGGTGCCAGCACAGTGCTCATGGGCAGCATTTGAGCCACTCTTGGGGGACATCAGCAAATAGGAAATCTCACTGATTCAGACTCAGAATTAGTGGCAAAACCAAAACTGTCTTCCCTCTGTTCCAAATTCAAAGAACCACAAACCTAGAGAGGTACCCAGGCACATGCTTGAAACAGGAGGATGTATGGCTAGTTTGCTTATATGAAAATTGGTTACTGAAAAAGATTCGCAGAGTTTGCCCTCACAGTTAAATATGACCCTTAAACCCATACTCAGGATAATTCTTTAAAATGGGAAAGGAAATTCCTATCTAATGCAACTAAATTATCACAAATTAATAGGGTGTCATTTAATAAGAACTTACCATATTGCTAGAGCTATAATTGGGAAGTTATTGAATTAATTAACATATCAATGATCAGAAAAATAAACCTCTTGCTGAGGATAGCAATGAAATATATCCCCCCCCCCACATACACACAAATAACTCATTATAACCACAGGCAAATATACCTGCACATAATTATTATGCTACCACTTACTGCGGGCTTTCTTTGGGCCAGGCACTGTGCTCAGAGCTCATGCATCTCCTCTCAGTGATTCTAGAGAGGAAATAGATGCCTAGGGAGAGCAGCAAGGCTTTGATCAACCTTCCAGAAAATGCCAGAGTCAGGAGACACGCACAGGTCTGCCTGGCTGCATAGCCCTAACCCTTCACCACATTATACATTGTATATCAGCCATAGGAATGGCTAAATGCCAGTCAGACCATAGCAGTCATCACGTAGAGCCTTCTAGCCCATCTGATGATGCTATAATGTGAGCTCCTTTAGCTTGTGCACGGAGTTCTGCCTATTCCACTCAGCGTGTGTCTGTCTTCCTTGCATATTGGGCTTTGACCACACTGGCCAAGGACCTTTGTACCAACTGTTTTTCTGCCTGGAAAGTACCCATGGTACTGGATACCCTGCCTTTCATAGAGGAGGAAGCAGAAAGTATCTGCCATGTAATCACTTTGAACTTCTCTGCAAAGCAGGCTGCATCCTCCTGGAGAGGGGCCACTTGAAAATGGTCCCCAGAGATGGTGGCATGAAGACACTGTCTCAGAGCCCCTCCACCCTTTTAGTTGGCAAGCACAAGAGACTGTAAAACTGAGGCCTGTAGACCTTCGAGATTACTTCTCAAGCAGCCCTTCAAGTAGGCCTGCAGCTGATGATGGCAAAAACTTTCACAAAACATCAGAGAGGATGGTGGGGTGACTTGGCCCATTATCACTCTCAGGGGACTCAGAATGTTCCCTCAAAACTCCCAGAGCATTCAAAGTTCTTCCTTCACTGTGAAGTGCAAACTAATTAGCACAATAACATTCCCTGTCCTGTGTGTCCCACGTTTGGGCTCACTTTGCTTTTATCTTATTTAATTTGCAGTAATAGCAGCTAAAACTAATTTCTCCACTGTAAATATCACAGCTGTTGTGGAAAGCATTAATTGCACACTATTGTGTTACTCTTCTTTCTTCGATCAATTTATATGTAATCTGTTTGCAAATTCTGTGACTGTGACTATTAAGGAAACACAACGTGAAATTGCTTTACAGAATACCCTGGAAACATTTGTACCAACACTGCCTGGATAGTGTGGGGTATGGAAATATTCTTGTTGGTGGCAGACAATGAAAGAATGCTTTTTAAAAGCCCTACCCCTAAGGTCTTGACACTGAGTGAAATATGGGTAATTTTTCTTTGGGAGGATCAATAAAATAACTATTTTCAAAATGACTTTATATTGACTGAAAGGTCAGAAATGCCCTGGGCATTGATCCCATGTCCATAATCACTTTTTGTTTAGTAAGTTAACTGGCTCTCCACAGTTGAATGCAAAGAAATCCAGTTCATCATCTAAACAAAATATTTTCCAAGCACTTTCCACGCTCCCAGACCTCGCTGCCTGCTGGACTCTCACTGGCCACCTCTCTTTGTCTAGGAAGTAGACCTCTACAGACTGAACAGCCAGGACAAGCTGGGCCTCACCGTGTGCTACCGGACGGATGACGAAGATGACATCGGCATTTATATAAGTGAGGTACAAAACTAACACAGCAAGACCAAAAATGTCAGGTTTTGTTTTTCCTTATAGATGCTGTCATCCTAAATGTAGTTCAAGAAGTTTCTGTAAAGACAGACAAATCACTTTGTCCTCTTCAGCATGCCTCATGGAGTCTCAGCTTTACTGTCTGTACACAGGGCAAAATTACCCCTGAGGAGTTGCAAATCAACCATAAAATGGAATAATTTACATGGTTTTGTGTGTTCAACCCCAAGGGAGCGGCAAGCTCACATTTCCTAACTCCTGTTCATTGAGCGGAATGGTGGACAGAATCACTTACACTTACAAAGTGTCTCACTCTGCCCTCTGTGTTGCTTTTTGTGGAGTATATATAATTGAGTTCATATATGTTAAATGTAATTTATAGGGACTTCTCAGAGTACATAGATGAAAACTATTTTCAAAAGCAACTGATTTCAATATGGCTACCTCACCAAGCACACCCATCCTTTTGATGGCAGAAGCCCAGCTTTATCAGGAAATAAAATCTGTCTTTCTGGGATGAACCAAGAGATATGTCTTTCAGATTCTGTTATCCCACAGGATGCATATCGCCTACCAAGCTCTGTGTTTTACATGATCGTGTGTTAGGACATTCCTCTCATTCCTGTCTCAATTGTCTTTAAGGATACTGCATAAAATTTAGGTATTTGGTATGAAATAACAGGTAGTTTCTCATAACAACGAGTAGCATCCCTGCCAGCAGTGGCCTAAGCACAAGCCCTGGAAAGGGCCTGAAACCAGTCCACGCTTGTCTGTTTTTGCACGAAATTGCATTTTGTTTATATCTGTGCAAAGCAGAAAAACTAGGATTAGCATGACTCTTGTGTGCAACATGGCCTTTGAGAAGTGCTGTGTTTCTTTGCATGTGTGTCTGGTTCATGCCGAGATGTCGGCCCTGTGTTTCAGATTGACCCTAACAGCATTGCAGCCAAGGATGGCCGCATCCGGGAAGGAGACCGCATCATTCAGGTAGGTCCATCCCCAGCCATGGCCTCTTCAGGTGCCTATCACCAAACAGCAGACTCATTCTCACAGCAGCTCTAAGATCATGAACAGGGCTGGAAGACAGAGGCACAGGGGTAGTGAGGGCAAGGTCACCGGTGAGGGATGGGGGAGCACTACAGCGAGATGTGGGACCACAAGCAACCTGCCCCAAAGCTGCCCCTTGGGAAGACAGCCTTGCAGGAGGTCAGCCTGTGGACTTTGTGTCTGTTCATTCTGGAGTGCCAACAACATGGCCTCCCTGAGATGAGTTTTCCTGGACAGATCCATCTAGGACCAAGTACCTCAAGGTGGGCCTTGTCCTTAAAAGAGGGACATTGTTGACAAATTTAGCCAAACTGATTGAGAAGTACTCGGGTAGTGGTTGTAGCCCTCCATTGTATCGCAGCAGCCCTGTTTCCCCTAAGTGACTGGGGCCACCTATGCCAACAGGTAGTTTCTCCCAGTGATACCTCTTGATTCCCTGCCATATATGGTGGCAAAATCAGAGGGCACCTCAACTGCCAACCAGTTGGGACCATTGCCACATCCCCTGAATGAACCATCAGCCCTGAGACTAAGACCTGGAGAACTCAACGTTTCTGCTACATGTTGAACAGAAATCCCACATGGAAGTTATCTGTTTGACCCCCTGTGCATCATAAAGAAGTGTCAAACTAGTGACACAAAGCACTGTGTATAAGCACATTCCTTGCTCTGCCCTCCATCTCCCTGATATTTTCATTAGACCCATTGCTGCTTTTTTCCCATGTTATCTGAAAATAGTTGTAATAATGCTTTTGTGCATTTCATTTATACTCCTGCCTGAGTGTGACGTTTGATTAAATTGCTTCGTGTGCCCTCTGAACAACAGGAGCATTTTTTCTCACTGTCATCTTATGGAGTACCCTGTATCGCAATCAGCTTATGAGCTACATACATGGTGGGGCTCTTACAGAGACCATAAAAACTGCATCAGCCCAAGCAAGGCCTTTTCTTCCTCAAATCAGCATTCCTTTTTCAGCTACAGCAAAGTTCTGTTTCTCATCCCTGAGTGGGGGACAAATACAGACCTGAAATAAGATAAAATGTTTTGCACAATCTTATCATGCTGTTGTCTGCCCACCTTCGTCCCCTTAGATTAACGGGATAGAGGTACAGAACCGTGAAGAGGCTGTGGCTCTTTTGACCAGTGAAGAAAATAAGAACTTTTCACTGCTGATTGCAAGGCCTGAACTCCAGGTGAGTCCATTTTGAAATGAGGTCTGTTATTTCTAAAACCAGATCCCCACAGAATCCTATGTAGAGGACCACAGGCCTGTGTGATCTGATTCAGAAACCACTGTGAATGACTCAACCCTTTGAGGGAAATGTAGATCTGTTTAGGTAGAAAACCGAAATGAAAAATAATCTAGGGTTATGACACAAAGGGTGTGTGACTCACTGCACATGGGAGCATCATGCTGTTGTAGGGAACTTCAGTAATGACCTCTTCCAGGATCACCTGGATTTTTCTTCAAGGGGCCAAATAATAGGCATTTCTCTTGTCTCCATGGCAACTATTGGACTCTGTTATCTTTGGTTCCAAAGCAACCTTGTACAGTACATAAACAGACATTGTTTTGTTTCATTAAACATTTTTTAGCAACACAAGATGGCAATCTATAATCCCTAAGTCTACCATTTCCCAAATTGTCTGTCTTCTCTTTGAAGGACAATAAAGTTGACATCTTAGCCAGGCATAGCGGTACATTCCTATAATCCCAGTACTCTGGGAGGCTGAGGCAAGAGTACTATAAGTTCAAGTACAGCCTGGGAAATTCAGTGGCTTACCAAAACCCTATCTCAAATTTTTAAAAATATTTGAGAAAAATAAGCGATAGTCTGGCCCACACCAAAGAGCTACTTACCACACCTATGCTTGGATATGATTCATTGGCAGAATGCCTGCCTAGCATGTATGTGGCTGGAGATTTCAGCCCAAAGCACTGGAAGAATGAAAAGAACTCTTTCTGCATTAACCATGGCTTCTCTTTGGAGCCTGCTGTACTTCATGGGGCCAGCAAGCAGAGACACAGCTAGATCTATGTCTGTGTGACTCTCCTGCACAGGCGATACTGGAGTCTCTTTAATACAAGCAGGGGGTAGCTTTCAGACATATGCAAGATAATGGGCAAGTTGCATTTTGATGACTCCTGAAGGAGACCCTAGAAACAGCTTTCCCCAAGATGATGTTCTTCCTAAAGAGAGATTGAGAGGGGGAAAAGTAGGCTCTTCTGAGGTATGCTTTGGCTCTCCCTCCTCAGCTAGATGAGGGCTGGATGGATGATGACAGGAATGACTTCCTCGATGACCTGCATATGGATATGCTAGAGGAGCAGCACCACCAGGCCATGCAGTTCACAGCCAGCGTGCTCCAGCAGGTAACACCAGAGCCGGCCGCAGCCTGCGGCAAACTCTGCTCCCTACATCTCCCTGCATGATGCTAAAGTCCATCAGAAGCCCATCCAGCCAGAAGATGGGGAAACAGCTTAAGTGCTTTTCTATTTGAGCAAGAGGGAAATGCAGGCTGATAGTCTCCCTGGCCAGGCTTTTAAGGCTGAGCAGTAACACCAGGGCAGAGCTGACCTTGCGATAGTTGTTAGGAAAACACAAGGGCCAGTGCTGACATAGAACAGAGAAAATTAAGTCATGTTTTTGAAAGTACAGCAGTTCCTTCTCTTTAATGTGTGCTACTAAGAGCCCTGTAGTTCCCTCCTATTCCTCCACCATTGTCGCAGTCACAGCTTGAATCCTTAGATGAGAGCTCTTTATGCTTCCTACCCCTGGGGCACTGGCTCATGGACTCATTCGTTGAGGTAACTATCATCACCCCCATTTTGCAGAAGGGAGGAGGAGGAGGATAAGAACAAGATTAAGCTATTGCTCAGGCTTGGGTACCCAGAATAACAGAGGTCGAGCTGGCCAATGCCCAGGCCTGGGACCTTGCCTCCACCTGATGCTGCTCCTCTGCTCTAGAAATATTTCCTTTCCACCCAGAAAAGTCAGGCCTGAGCACCTGCTCCTCGGGCTACCCTCACCCTGACCGATGGCTGCTGTCATTTTCTCTTGCACAGAAGAAGCACGAGGAAGACGGTGGGACCACAGACACAGCCACCATCCTGTCCAACCAGCACGAGAAGGACAGTGGCGTGGGCCGGACCGATGAGAGCACCCGCAACGAGGAGAGCTCAGAGCAGGAGAACAACGGGGACGACGCCGTCGCCTCCTCCAACCCACTTGCAGGCCAGAGGAAGCTCACGTGCAGCCAAGACACTCTGGGCAGCGGAGACCTGCCCTTCAGCAACGAGTCCTTTGTCTCCGCCGACTGCACCGAAGTGGACTACCTGGGCATCCCCGTGGATGAGTGTGAGCGCTTCCGCGAGCTGCTAGAGCTCAAGTGCCAGGTGAAGAGCACCAGCCCCTACAGCCTCTACTACCCCAGCAGCCCTCTGGATGCCAGCAAGAGCGACCCCGAGAGTGTGGACAAGGAGCTGGAGCTGCTCAATGAGGAGCTGCGCAGCATCGAGCTGGAGTGCCTGAGCATCGTGCGCGCACACAAGATGCAGCAGCTCAAGGAGCAGTACAGGGAGCCCTGGCTGCTGCACCACAGCGGCTTCCGCAACTACAACACCAGCCTGGACATGCGCCGCCACGAGCTGTCCGATATTACCGAGCTGCCCGAGAAGTCAGACAAGGACAGCTCGAGTGCCTACAACACTGGCGAGAGCTGCCGGAGCACCCCACTCACCCTGGAGATCTCCCCTGACAACTCCTTGCGGAGAGCAGCCGAGGGCCTCAGCTGCTCAGGCAGCGAAGGGGCTGGGGCCGTTGGATCTGCAGAGGGCTATGGGCCATGCTCTAAGAACCTGCTCGCCATCACGGAAGACCCCGAGGTCGGTACCCCAAACTACAGCCCTTCGGCCAAAGAGCTAGATCCCAGCCAATCCCCAGAGAGCAAGGAGCGCAGAGCCAGCGAGGGCAGCAGGAGCCCCACGGGCAGCCCGAAGCTGGGAGGTGCCTACCTGTCTTCTGCCCCGCACTCCCCATACAAGCATGCACACATCCCAGCCCACGCGAGACACTACCAAAGCTACATGCAGCTGATCCAGCAGAAGTCGGCTGTGGAGTATGCGCAGAGCCAGATGAGCCTGGTGAGCATGTGCAAGGACCTGGCCTCTTCCAACTCTTCAGAGGCCAGGATGGAGTGGAAGGTGAAGATCCGCAGCGACGGCACACGCTACATCACCAAAAGGCCAGTGCGCGACCGCCTGCTGCGAGAGCGCGCCCTCAAGATCCGCGAGGAGCGCAGCGGCATGACCACGGATGACGACGCGGTGAGCGAGATGAAGATGGGGCGCTACTGGAGCAAGGAGGAGCGGAAGCAGCACGTGGTGAAGGCCAAGGAGCAGAGGCGCAGGCGCGAGTTCATGCTGCAGAGCAGGTTGGATTGTCTGAAGGAGCAGCAAGGGGCCGACGACAGGAAGGAAATGAACATCCTGGAGCTGAGCCACAAAAAGATGATGAAGAAGAGGAATAAGAAAATCTTCGATAATTGGATGACTATTCAAGAACTCTTAACGCACGGTACAAAATCCCCAGATGGCACTAGAGTATACAATTCCTTCTTATCGGTGACTACTGTATAATTTTCACTTCTGCATTATGTACATAAGACAGACCACTACCATTAGGGTAGAGATTCCTGCCTCGTTCAATGCGGCAAGTTTTTGTATATAAGATAAACACAGTCATCATGTTTATAGTCCAATTTTGCCACCCCTACAACTTAGGGTGTCGCCACTCCATTTAAAGTGGAGGTAAGATACACCCTTACTGTCTTGGAAGGCAATATAACAAACGCTTTTTTCAAATAGCAATTGTACTTTTTTACTTGTTACCTTTTACATAAAGTGTTTAAATTTCCAAAAAAAAAAAAAAAAAAGAGATCTCTTATTAAGCATCTTTCACAGAATAATTTGTTTAAACTATATTCATATTTTAAAAGGTTAAACATGCTTTCTTTTCCTGCCTAAGACACAAATACAACTGCCAGTATGTATTTTTAATGGAACCCTATTTTATAATGTTATTTCTCCGAATGTGTTTCATAGGAGTGACCATTAATATATTATGTAGGTCTAGGTTTCAACTCAAAACCACCCAACTCTGTGGTTAATGATTTAATACACATAACCAAACCAGCAGTGTTGAGTTGGAATATACATTTTAACATTTTTCTCATTAAAGTTCCCAAGAGAGTGTAAAGGTTTTACGAGAAAGCAAACTATCATGCAGCTTTATGGAAGTTTAAAGCATGTTTGCAAATATTGCAGCTTGTTGGAAGAATATGCATGTACAGGAGAATTCTCGGTGGAGTCGGTTTGTGGAATTTTAAGTGCTCATTGTAGTAAATTTTTGCTTTGTAGATCCAAAGGTACAGACTTATACAAGCAAGTTCATGAAATCATGATTAGTTACAAACATTAAATGAAGTTAAAATAAATTATTATTTTCTATTTGATATGTTTTCAATGTGATTCCTCATTTTGCAGTGGTGCTTATAAAATAAAAGCTTTTTGCAGTGTTGATTTTTGCCCTTGGTTGTGTTACCTTCTACCTCAGAAGGATTTTAAGTGTCTCTCCAGTCTTTCATCCAGCCTGGTGCCCAGTACCAGATGTAAAACCGAGGTCTAGCAGCAAAGAATAACGAATCAAATGCAGCACATAATGTGGCCTTCAGACAGTCCGATGGGTCTGGTCAACCTGGCCTGACGTCCGCCACAAGGATGTGAGCATGTTCATCAGTCAGGGTTACACTTACAAGAAGCCTCTTTGCTTTATTGCAAGCACAACGGCTTTTTAGGAGCTAGCAGCTCGGGGGAGGGGACAAGGTCTACCCTTCCATTTCTAAGAGGAATCTGCAAATCAGGCAACTTTACGGGAACAGTGAGTCACCAAGGTGGGGTCTTCAGAACTGGACTCTTTCAGACTGTCACCCAGGACCCTAAGCAATGGATTTTCTGCTGATCATTCCCCAACTATATTGTTGGCACCAATTTCAGTTAAACTTAAATATAAAAAAGATTAGGAAGGAGGTATCATTTTTGATTTGTCCTTGTGCCACACATATGGTTTCTTCATTACTTTAACTGAAACTTTGTGAAGGGAAGGTATGTAGGTATCTCAGACATAGATTTTTCTCCCAAAGACCCTTTGGTACTAGAATCTTAAGACCAATCTTAAGAACAATTAAGATGACCAATTAGTAGTCATATTTGCAATAAAATAACTCAATGAAAATAAAATCCTGAAATACTAATTATTGGTACTAATATCTGTTCCTTTCCTCCTTCAGAACCAGGCAATCCCAAGATAATTATATCTGCTATGTAATTCTAATCAGTGCTCCAAGTGAGGTTTTTGCAGAGGGGACTGTTGAAGTCACAGTGCCCAATATCCCCCAAGTTCAGCTTTGACAGAATGAGATCCTCAGCCCCCCTAGAGAAGCTCCCCACCTCCAGCACTCTCACCTTGTACCCCAGTTCATAGTTAATGCTACACAGAGAACAGACACCAGTCAGATGAATTACAAATTACCACCAGGCAAGTACAAGCATCTGTTATTTGGGAAAATAGCTTTCTTTCCTATGTATGTTCTTAAAGGTGAGTGAAGCAAACGTGACCACAAGAACGAAGAGCTCTCACCTAAATAGTTGTGGGCTATGAGATCCAGAGCGATTTCTGGCCAGGGCTCCCCATGTGCCTTGGACTTTGAGATCAGCCTGTGCCCTTATCAAAAAGTAGTGAGAAATGATAACACATTCAAGTCCAATTCTAGATCCTTTAATCCCAATGTGTTTTTTAAAACATGCTGTCATCTAGATATGCTTGGTCAAAACTTGCAGTGTATTCTGTGCTTGATCTTCACCAAAAGGCCAAGAAGTGATTGCAGTGTAATCTGAGTCTTCTCAAATCTAACATAGCAAATTAAAAAAAAAAAAAAAATGTTGGAAGAGACCTTAAAAACCATCACTATCAACAAGCTGGCACCTAGAAAAGGAGGCGCAGAAATACAGTCAAACTTGTTAATAACCAAAATGGGTCTGGAGTTCGGCCTCCAACACCCGGTCTTTCATCTCTTAGTGCTCCCTACTCAGAAGGGAGATAGCATTCACATGCACGATGAACTTGGAGCCATTCAATTCTGTTCCCTGGACCAAAAAATCAACACATTTCACCTCTGGATGCCCCAGAGTGAGCATAAGCCAAGAAACATGAATCTGCCATTTCTCTAACAAGCCTAAGCTCCCAAGTGACTCACAGTGCAAGCCTTGCTGAGCTGGTGGTTGAGTTGAGGGATTTTCCTGGGCATTAGTGAGGGGACACTCTACAGCTTCTGTTGTCGCTGAAGTGAAACACTAGATGCCAGATACCCAGGAATCTGCTGGAAGCAATGCTATGCTTCATTTCCTAGATGCACTTAGGAATCTGCTGGAAGGTATAGATTTTTCTCTGAAGGAAAAAAGAAATGGACTTACAAATAAACAGATTGCATATAATTTTGGAGATGTCTTAGGCCTTTAGTCCATTCATGGATCTTCTCCAGTGGTATGAAAACCCAAATTTAAAGCAAGTAAATAGCTCTACGTGTTTATTCTTACTTTACTACATGTTTATATAACTATATAACACCATTCAATTTGAATGCCCACTTTTTATACTGAAGGAATAAATTTTTCCTGATATAATCACAGCGCTTGAGGCAATTAAAATTCAATGGACCACTAGTATCTATCCTCTTCCATTTGTTGGGCTAATGACTGTGCACAGATGTACAGATTTAGGAGCTGTGAGTACAGATTCCTGCTTCTCCACAGCAGCCGCTCTCCTGGTTGGATGGCTCTGGTTTAAACTATTTCTAGAAATCAATGGGAAGGAAATGAGAATGTATTGAACTCCAAGAGCTACCTATCTAATGTGGCCACTGGCCACATTTGACTACTAAGCACTTAGAATATGGCTAGTCCAAAGACTTTGTGTTTTAAAAAGAATAAACTATATCAATGTTTTACATGTTGAAATAATTTTCCTAATTTCACATTTTTCCTTGAATTTGGATTAGTCCATGGTTCACATTGTACTTCTGCTAAATGTTGCTGATACAGAGAACAGCAGGCATGCAGTGCTAAACACTTGATATCCTCTCACTACATTCTTGGGTTACTTGTGCAAGGCAGGTGACTTTATCAAGATTTTAGACTCGCAATAGGAACTCTGCCTGAATAGAGAGATGTGGTTTGAACTTTGCTTTACCTGATGCCAAGCCCTTTACCAGGCACCTCTGTTCCTCCATCTATTCCTCAAAAAGCAATGCAGAGCATGCCCAGATTATGTTAATATTTTGTAATGTATTTGTGATTAAAAATAAAAGAGGTTGCTTTAACGTGGCAGGCTTTTTACTCCGCTCTCTTTGAGTTCGAAATTACTAGCCATGCTAACTCTCTGGGCAGGAGCACATGAGACTGCATAAAAATACAGGAAAGTGGGGCACAAATTAAGCTTTTCATCTTTTAAATGAAAACAGGAGATCCCAAAAAGGGAGAATCACAAATATGATGAGGTAAGACTATCCATCGCCTAGAGAATATCAGTTGGAGAAATAATTAGGATTATAAACCAAAGTATGAAAATGACCAAATAATTATCTGCTTGTAGCCTTCAGAAGTAGGCTACAGGTTACTTGTTAGCAAAATTGCCCGAAACCACGGAAGCAAATGCAATTCTGCCATAAGCAATTGCAACTCCCACTTTTATTTCTGCTCCCCAGTTGTTTCAGCAAGTTAGAATTTCTGTGAGCCATCAACTAATTAAAAAGAAATCACTAAAATGAGATAAAATGCTAGAATTCTCATGGCAAACGTTAGCGTCTACAATTTTGATTAAATGTGAATTCCCTTAAGCAGTTACAGAAGAATTGTGGTTCTGTGGGTTTCATTCAGATGAGCTTTTCTGCTTAAATGATCCATTTTTCTTTAGCTTCCAGTTGCAACTAATCCTGAAAGGGCATGGTCTATGGGGGCATATGATTTGCCTGTAATGTGGTTTTCCCTTTCAGTGGCAGGAGGCTGACCTCAGTGCCCTTGGTATTGTTCAAAAATGAAAAATGGAGAAATAATGATCCTTCTTTCAATGGGGAAATGGAAAATTTAAACTTGCTCACAATTTAGTGAGTCTTGCCAGAAATCTCCGAAGCCAAATGGAGCTAACACCATTGACTTCCTTAGTGTCTCTCAAGAATCTGCAGTACTAGGTTCAAATTGCATTGCGCATTTAGTCTACCTCTCCACTGCCATTCAGGATGTGATAGGCTTGATTTGTCAGGCTCAGCTGTGAGGAATCAGGACCACCCTGTGATGCCAGAGCTGGGGCAAAAGGTGGTGTGGACTCCTTCAGCCAGGAGTTACTGTGTGGACATTTGATTTGGGCAATGGTGAGTCTAGTGGAAGAGAAACAGTAAAGCACTCACCACACAAATACTACTTGTAAAATACCAGCGAATTAGAAAAAGGGCGGGGAGGTGGGGGTGTACAGAGCTAACATCACATATTTCAAGAGTGTCTCCTAAAAAAAAATTACAGTTGATAGATGAATGTGAATTAGGCAAAGACTAGTGCTTCTAGTCCAGGCATAGGTGACAGCACAAGTAAAGGCCCCCATGCAGAACCGATGTGGCTTATTTGAAACAAGGAACAACAATAAAAAGGCAGTCAGTGTGGCTTGAGCTAGAAGGCAGTGGGAGAAAGAAGAGAATGGCGTGGGAAGAGAGGGAAAGGAGAGAGACAGTTTTGCAGCAGCCAAGTTACCAATTTCAACATAAATATCCACAGTATTGACTACCTCTTATGTGCTGGAAATTATGTTAAATTTTTTTATGTGCTAATTCTCCTAACCACAGAGTGAGCCTATCAGTGAGTCTATTATCTTTATTTTGTAGGTTAGAAAACGAGATGTATCAAAGCAACCAGGTGGTATGTGGCTGTGGGAAAATATGATCCCAGTTGCTTCTGACTCCACTTAATTGCTGCAGTAGGAAAAAAGCCCCCCCCCCCAAGGCAGTGTTCATGGATTCTAGTGCTGGGAGAGACCCATCTGTTTTAGCAGACACCTACTCTCTGGTCACCTGGAGGAACCACTGTGCACCCTGCCTTTTCCAGGTCAGAGTTAAATTTACTTATCATTGTAGTGCTTCCAAGTTCTAAGCTACCACAGACAACAACCACTTAGCCCAACACATTAGCCAAGGTGACTACTAGAAAGAATGTATTTCCTTTTCCAAGGCTGTTTGTAGGCTGTGTTTTCCATCACCCACAAGAAGCACAGAGCAGCAATTTAGCAGGAGTTTCCTCTTGCCTCCCTCACAGCTACCAGCTCCACACCAGTTCTTGTACCATGGCAGGGAAGCACCTGATTAATGAGATAGTCTCTGTCTTGGTTACTTTTCTGTCACTGTTAAGAAAAACTACTCAACACCCAGGCTTAAACAGGGAAAGCTTTATTTAGCTCACAGTTTGCAGAGGTTTCAGTCCAT